TGGTGTCTCAGCAAAGCTCAGGGCTTTGCCTGTGTGGGGTCCCAGGAAGGCTCTGTAGCTGTTCTGTCATTTTATCTGCTGGAGCAGGACACCACCTCCTTTTCACCCACAGCGTTTGCCCTCAGAAGTAGCTGAAAGTGACTTCATACACATCTCTTCCCACCCCCCATCCCCTTTTCCTCTCCTAACAGCAGGAGTTAGAGGAAAGGAAACGAAGACAGAGATCCCTGACCAGTGGTGACACAGAGAACAGTCCCAGCCAAGGAATGGTAAGTTGTCAAAGGATCTGGGAGACTCTGAGATAACAAGCCAGGTTATCCAGGTGTTCTGCCTGCCTTGTGCCTCCTCAGCCCAGGTCTGCTGCATGTCTGGAGGGTGTACACATGTGTGCTGGAAAGCTTGCAGCAAGAATGCAGGTTAGACTGGTATAAAGAGCCTTCTAACCCATAAATATCTCATTAGTTCAGTGTTTCCCAGACCCTGGGCACCGCCAGGCATCATAAAGTGGTCCTGAGGCAGAGCACTGTCTTTGTTCAGAGCACTGGACCTGTTCTTTGGAGCTGGGAGGAAGATTATTTTTGAAGATCGTGTTCTATTGTGAAGGGTGGGAATGAGACCATTTTGCATAAATATATTTACAGAAGATGTTGTAGAGGAAGGGATGTATTAAAGGCTTCATAAGAAGATTAGCCTGTATTTACACTGCTAACTAATGTCATTATTTGCATGTTTAGACCAGGCACACATTTGCTGTGAGGTGTGTAATGAGACAATCTGAACTGACATAATCCACAACTTTGGACAGATTTGTCAGTAACAACAGGAATACTTAGCACTGGGTGCTCTTGTAATATCACCTGCTTCCTCAGGTGTGGATCCAGGGCTGTGGAATTTCACAGTCCACTTCCTGAATACACCATTGAAAAACAAGACTTAAAGTCAAGTGTCTTCTTGTGAGCAAAATCAAACTGATCAAAAAAGCTGTGAATGTGTCTTTAAGCATCACTGAGAAATTATGTGGAGAGAGATGTCAGAACAGTGTGATGGTGGCAAGAGACTTTACTATGCAGATCTTCAAAAAAAACCCACAAAAACCTCCAAAGCTCATGTTTTGTGTCTTTGGCGTGGTTTCATTGTGCCTTAATCTGAGTAGTTCTGCCTGAAATGCCCTGAAGTGACATGATATGCAGACAGTGATGCTGATACACTGTGCTGCGTTGGCTCATTTATTCCTACCAATGCAACCATCATGCAAGGTGCAAACCGGTGAAAAACCAAGGCTTATTTGTCAGATTCTCATCTGAATTACCCAGGTATAGGTCTGAGTTTCCTTTGGAAACTCCAAAATAGTGTTATGCATAAAAAAAATCAGAATCAGGTCTCTATTTATTTATGCTGTACCACTTTCGGATATTGAAAAATAGAACTAAAAATACCAGAAAAAGGCACAGGAAGAAATGGCCCTTACACTTCAGCTGCAGCCTCTTCTGTGCAAGATGCCAGATTTGTTAGTAATGAGACATGAGTCAGAGAAAGTCAACTTTACTGTCATTCCCCTTGTGGCAGTTGATTTTTTTTATTTAGGAGTTGCTCTTTCCCTCCTTTGACAGCCCACAACACACCTGTGTTACTGTGATACTTCCCTAGTTGTGAATGTTGCAGAAATTGCTGGCTTGGCTCAGATGCTCAGCCAGGGCAGCTTCACCCAGTCCCAGCAGCACAGTTCAGGGTTTCTCTGTGGTTCCTTTGCTGGCAGCCCAGTGACTGACTTGCCTCTCTCTTGCAGGACGTGGGGCTGCTGGAGATCCCCGCAGAGCTTGCAGCCCTCGTGCAGTTTGTTGAAGGTGAGAAATCCCCCCTCCTTTCCTCCCTTCCCTGAACTGTTTCACTTCACTGTGTGTTTCCTTGTTTATGGCAGTGTCAGTGTGTGTTTGTTCTACCTGCTGCCTGTCACCCAGGTTGGATTTGATTTATGATCATTGCAGTGTAAATATGATAAAGGCAAATGGCGCCGTGAATATTGTTTCCCAACATGACAGAGTGGGAAAGTAACTTGGGCCAGGAGGCAGAACACCAGATTAAAAATCAGTATATTTGTTAATTTTTCAGCTCTTCTTATGAGCTGGGCTGATAGAACTGATGACATGATGGTGCAGAACTCTGATCAAAGTTACGTGACAGCAAACTGCTCAATGAACTCGGGTCTCTGGCAGAGCTGAATATCTGGAGTGGGAGAACTTAAACCCACCTTTTATCTACTCAAAAATATTTAGGGAAGGTGAAGAAGACAAAACCACAATTTTGGCAATTTCAAATAAGTATTTTGAGGCTTAATTAAAATTATTTCCTCAAAAGTAGGTAATTCTTTTAAAATAGAAGGAAGGGGAAACAGCGTAACAACTTAGTGATGCAACAACGTGACAAGTTGGGATGTAACAATGCATCAACCTAAAGATGTGGCAATGTAACAAGTTGAGTACATGGTAATTTTTAACTTAAGGATGATATAAAGTATCAACTCAATGATCTCCCTTTTGCTTGGTTTGGAAAGTTTTTTGTTCTGTTTTCAAATCACCAAAATACTTCTTGCAGAAAAAATTTCCCAAATTGTTCACGTGACATTGAGCATTAGGTTATTTGCAGTTGTGTTTCCTCTGTAGCTCTTTGTGCAATGTGAATATTTAAGTTGCAAATAGGTTGAGGCAGGATTTGCCTCTTTGTGTCGGTGTAGTGTCAAACAAAATGCCAGGGGTGCCTCTGGCCCTCTGTGAGGTACAGGAAGGGATACAATCAGGCAGAAGAGTTGTGAGCTGGAGCAGACTGTGCTGGATTCCCAAATAACTCACACTTCATGGCACAGCCCTCTAGGGACTATCAGCTGGTCTAGTGAGCAATGTAACCCAGAGGAGCTCAGGGAACACTGAAACTGCTGGAAATGAAAGCTGCTGGGATGTAAACAGGGAGGATGAGGCGAGCATCCAGGGACACGTTTGTTTGGAAACAGAGGAATGCACAGGAATTGTGCTGCACTGAGAAATCCCTTCACTTAGGAAGATGTTTGCTCCTCTCTTACCCATGATAACTCCCTCGTCTTGAAGACCTCTCATTTACTTGTTGACTGAACAGTTAACAGCAGGATCTCAGCATGAGCTCAGTGTTTCCTGCCTTGTAAATGCTGCAGAACAGAATTGAATCTCCATGTGCTCCCTGCCCTCTCGGTGTTCCCCGGAGAAAAAGGTCTGAAAGATCAGAGCTGTAAAATCTCTCTCCTGAAGTGAGGCCTTGTGGTCTCAAAGGTGTGAGGCTGTCCCTGCTTGGAGGTCTAAGGCAGCAGGGGTGGGCTGTGTGTCCCTGGAGCCAGGGGCTGGCACAGAGGCAGGGTGAGATGCCACGTGTGGCTGGGTGTGTTCTGTCTCCCACCTGCCACAACACCAGAGCTCCTTCTCTTGCAGGTCGACACCAAGCACAGACCAACCAGATAACAGAGGCATTGCCTCCAGAAATCAAGGTCAAAGATGACCTTTCCCTCCCACCCACCATCAACAGCTATCCCTTCTCCTCCTTCGTTAAGTCACACTTCCAGGTGGGAACTCCTTTTCTATCTCGTCATTGCTTCCCCACTGGGCAGACACACTAGTTCTAGCAGCACCAGGAGCAAACTCTGTTTCCATCCTGTTGTTTCTTTGTAGAAGCCAGAATTCCCTGCCCTTGGTCAGCCTCTGCATCACCCCTTAACCCAGCTGGGCACCGAACACCACGAGAGTGCACTTGAGATCAACAAACTGGTAAGAGATGTCGTTCTTGACCTTGTTGAAGAACAGGCAGGTACTGACAATATTGTGGTGCCTTTATACAACAAGTTGCCAGTGGTGGATACTCTTCTTATGTTACAAGGCTGGAAAAACAGAATAAATTTCTCCTCCTAGGCCCTGCAGCAGCCTGGCAGAGATCACATGCAGCCCCTTAGGGTTGCTGTGTTCTTGGTGAGGCACAGACCAACCACAGACCCCTGGGATCAGAGTGAATTGCCTGGTGATGTAGCCTCAGAATTCAGCAGGGCATACAGGAATCAGACTGCTAAGCCTTAGTTTCCTGCTATTCCAGATTCAGTAGCAATGACAGTGTAAGGGAGGTCTGTCTCCTCAATTGCTTACTCATCTGTCAGTCATAAAAAATTTGATTTAACCCATATCTTTTCCTTGATGTGGTTTATAGTAAATATATCAATTGCATCTCAGGCTCACGGTTGTGTCACTCAACAGGGGACAGTGAAGTGTCCTATAAAGGCTGGAAAAAAATGACTTTGTCATCAGGAAAACTGGAACCACACCCCAACTGTAGTGTTTGCGTGAAGGGGATTGTGTTATTGCAACTCTGTGGACGTGAAACAGATCTTTCTTCATATTTTTCTTAACAGTTGAAATATTTGAAAATAGAATGAAACTCCAGATAATTTCTAAGTAAATCTGGTAATCCTTTTGAGGATTACATAGAATTAAAATAAGCCCATTAAGAAAGTTAATACCTAAACCCAGCCTCTTGTTTTGTCCTCATGATCCCAATTATAGAGGAGCATAAGCTTCAATAAAATCTTGTGAATAGGATTGTGTTTAAGCAGAATACTATTATATTCCTGGAGATCAAAGGCAATTTTTCTCCATTGCTAATGAAGTCGGGATTTACTACAAAGATTTCCATGAGAACTAAACAACCACTCTCCCCTGTTTTTCTCATTGAATCTCTGACACACTTAGTACCACTAACTGTTTCTAGAAGTGTTGTCATTCTTAAATGTTCTTTCCAAAATATTTTAGAAATATTTTAATTAATGATATATTGAAGTGAAGAGGATGAAAGAAATTATTCTGCACCTAAGGGTGAGAAATAGAAAATACAAAAGCATTGAAGATATTAATTTGCATTGAAGATATTGATATGCATAGCCAAGAAGCTGAATCATTGCTTCAATGAGTTTGTTGAGACACCACCTCTCATACTACTTGGTATAATATTAACTATACCAAAGTCTTTTCAGCAGTCAGTGGGCTCAGTAACAAATGTCCTGTGGTAATTCAGGTGTGTATCTGAGCCCTGCCCAAAGAAGGGGAAGTATTTTGCCCAAGACCAAATTCTGAGTCATAAGTAAGAAGAGACTTGAAGTCACCCTGACTAAAAGTCAGGGTTCAGTCTCTACAAACGTTGCCTCCCAAATTCCCCAGAACTTGGGTGGTGCACGAAAACATGAGAACAGACCCTGATCTGAGTTTTGCCTACTCTTAGGCTCACCAGCACTGTGATGTCCACAACCCAGATTGTCACCTTACAACACAGTTTGGGACAGAGGATTAGATTACAGCCTGAGCTCTCTCTTTTTTCCCCCTGGATGCCTCTAGATTTTGCGGTTCATTGGTGACAAGAGCCTCCATGGCTGGCAGGAGGTGCTCCTGGGCAACTACATTGCTGGCAGAGGTTTGAGTACCACGGCTCTGCGTGACGAAATCTTCAGCCAGGTGGTTGCCCAGGCATGGAAGAACCCAGACGTGGAGCACAGCCAGCGAGCCTGGGTCCTGATGGCAACTGTGCTGAGCTGCTTTGTGCCTTCACCAGCACTGGAGAAGCCCTTGCTGAAGTAAGGGGGAGAAAAGAGCAATCCACGCCTGCACTGTGGTTAAAGGGATGAGCAGAGTGCTAAATGCAGTTGCCTTTCCCTAGATTTGTGTCAGACCATGGCATGGAGGGCTACAACGCTGTCTGCCAGCGCAAGATCCTGACAGCAGCACATCACACAGAGACAGGCTCTGCGTCCTCTCGGGCCTACCCTCCCACTCGGCTGGAGTGGACAGCAAACCAGAGGAGAGGGAAGATTGTGCTGGATGTTCATACCTTTAATGGTAACTCGTGCTTCTGCCCTCCTGCTGTCTTCCAGTCAGTCCCTAAGGACGTTTCCACTGCAGAAATCAGCATTTGGAAAATACTTCCCTCAACTTAGTAAAGAGGGATCAGAAGGCTGATTGCTACTGGCTGGTGCAACCATGGGGAATACAAGCATCTGAATCTAGACCCAAAGCTTGTGAAGTCTGGGCCTGCTGGGACCTTCTACTGAGGCTGAGGGATGAGATTCTCCTGGGTTTGGGCCCATCTCACAGAGGGCTGTTCTGGTTGTGCATCTCTGTGGGTTTGGTTTTCCTGTTCCCCCTTACAGCACAGCCCAGCAGCAGCAATTTATTGCAGGGACTTTCTGCCTTTCTCCCTTCTCAAATATTGCCTTATGCAGCCTTTGCTTGGGAGTGTGTGAGGCTTTCCAGCTGGGCTCTGCCCCCGTGGAGTGCAGGGGTTGCTTTGGGTCCTGTCAGGGAGGCTGTGGGGACTGACTCTCTTCTCTGTGCCAGAGGAGGTGTTCTCAGCTGAGGTGGAGTCCTGGATGACTGGGGAGCAGTTTGCAGCCTGGATCCTAAATGCAAGGTACTGCCAGAGGATGGGAGGAGGTCTGGGGGTGTGAAAGAGGCTGTCACCAATTTTAAGGTTCACACTGGTTGGGGCTGCAGGCTGGCATTTATGTGGAATAGTCACTCCTTACCCACTCCACCTTGTGCTCTCTCCTTCACCCTCCATCTGTGTGCATACACTGTGGGCTTCTTTAGGAACAGAGGAATCACTGTTGTGATCTCTTAGAGCAGCTTCTTTAAAAAATAAAAAAAACCAAACCAACCAACCAAAAGAGAACAAATCTTGAATTATTCTAGCACTTAGTAGTTGATTCACACCGTAAATCTAAAGGACTCAAGGCAGGATAGACAAAGCAAGAAGAAACTGAATGCAATCTTTTCCTTCTTCTTCCTTTCCCGTGCCTACCTGGACATCTTTCCTTTCCTTCCTTTCCCTGTTACCAGGGGCTGTGATAAGAAGACTCGAGGGTGGTCTGTCTCCATGTTAACTGGCAACACATGGCAGGACCTGCTGGGCTGTGACTTTGTGCTGGACCTCATTGGAGAGATGGAGGAGACCAGCAACTTCAGCAGCGCTTCCCAGTCCCCAGCTGAGTTCCCCATCGCTCCAGAAAGGGACAGGAGCACCTACCAGTTCTCTGACCTGGATTCGTAAGTCACCTCTTCCTCCTGCCCCACCACTTGTGGCCCTGTCACCCAGTGGTTCATCTTTCTGGTCCCCATGTCATTTTCCTCTTCAACAGGATCCCTCCTGCTCCAGGCATTCAGGCCCCTTCCTTCCCACCCCCTAGCCTGCCTCCAGAATTCATGGATCTCCATCCAGGTAACCTTCAGCCCAGGACTGTGGATGACTCTGGGAAGGGCCAGATGGGCCCCAGCAAGGGCATCAAAGCAGAGGGGGAGTCAGATGATTCTTGTTGATGTAGAGCAGGGAAGGGCCACCCTCCAAAACGTGACTGTCTAACAGGGACTGGAGGCAGGGGAATGTTCCTTTACCTGCCTTGTTCACCAGACTTCTCTCTGCTCCTAGATGCAAGGATTAGGGATGACCTGAGGACCCCCGTAGGCCTGGACCACTATGTGGATGATCTCTTCAGCCCTGTGCTGCATCAGGGCTCCAGACTATCAGTAAGTCCCCTGATGTCCATTCCTACTTTCCCTCTGCAGCTCTCCTGTACCTGTGACTCCCTCAAGCATTTCTCTGCCTATTCACTGCCTCTGCTCAGCTCAGACTTGCCTCTGGATGTCTCTCCCTCTCTGAGCTCAGGTAACTCTGGGTTTTTTTTGATGCAGGATTTGGAGAACAGGGACAGTCTCACTGGACGCATGAAAGGAGGTGGGAAGATTGGACCCACAGGGAGAGGAATCCTTCCTTCTACAGGTCTGTAAGGGGATGGGGACCGCTGGAAACACCTGTGGGGCTACAGAAGCTTCAGTGAGGACAAGTCAGGGAGCCCCTTAAATGCTAATTATTGCATGGACCCAGCTGGTTCATGAAGAGCACTGGTCTGTGGTACAGGTCATCAGAAGTTGTACTCCTCACTTGCAGGTGCTGGGAGCCAGATGCTTTGGGGAAGGTGTTAGGCAAGGGAACCACCTTTGTTCTGCTTTTAATTTCTCTCATGAGTTGGTCTGAGGGTCAAGGCAGCAGGTAGGTTGTTTCTGACCCAGGCCACCTCTTCCCCAGGCAAATGCTTGTGAGTCATGGGTTCACCTTCTATTCACCTTGTGCTTTCACAAAATAGTTGGTGCCTTTATCAGGGGAGGGTTTTAATCTTTCTTATTGCTTCCTTACAGAATTTCCCATCGTCTGTAGCTATTCCTTGGGTTAGTAAGTCTGAACCCTGCAGAGGTTCTGATTTGTGTGTTTGGTTTCTTTACCTTTCCTCATTTCTGTGGAGCTAAGACTCAGGCATTTTCAGCAGGGTGGAGTCAAACACCAGTATATTAATGGCACTGAGAAATCTGCATGGGTAGGAACACACCCAGCAGTTTCAGACAAGTGGGGAACATCCAGTTCAGTCATTACTGAAACTGGGACTGGTTTTGGCTATTGAAGAGGCTCTGGGGCATGACAAGGACTATTACAGATCACTGGCCTGAGTCAGTTTGCCGTTTGTGTGGCTACTTAGATGGGTGAGGGATGTGATGATCTTCCCATGGCATCCCAGGGCCATTCTCACTGGTGAGGATATGATTCAGCAGACCTGTGCTGTGTGCTGACTCCCTCCTGGCTGCCCCTTGCTCTGCTGCCTTTTCCCTCAGTGGGATTTGTTTTGTGGCCCCATATGGGACTTGCCTGCTGAGAGAAGAGGAATTCCTTTCTGCCCACAGCTCCTTCACACAAAGTCATCCAGGCCAGGGCTTGTTGTTCACCCACCCTTGCTACCTGCTGCAAAGAGACCAATATGGATGTGACAGTCCCAGTCCCAGAGATCTTTGCTCATCCCTCAAGAAAAACCCTCCTCTGTGATTGTACACAGGCAGGAGTTATTCATACGTTTCATCAGGAAGGATGGTGGTGTCCTAAACTGCAGAAGCAGGATCTGGATACTGCTGTTTAAAGTCTGTCAGGCCACACATCGTTCTTAGGTTTTCTTTCCCCACCTAAGTTTTGGTGTGTCCTGCTGTGGTTGGTGCATGTGGAGAGCCCCAGAGGCGACTGTGTTCTGTGGGATTGCTCAGGGCCTGATTCCCCAAAAGCTCTGTGCACATGATCTTTTGTCTCCAGGCTTCCCTGGAATGGCTCAAGCACCAGTTTACCAGCCCATGCCTTCCATGATGGGGGTGCCAGCAGCCATGCCCATGATGCCAGGGGCTGGTGGGATCACACCTATGCCAGGTAATAGCAGTGTAGCTACAGAGGGAAGGGATGGAAAGGGGGTGTCAGTGGGACCTGTGCATTTCAGTGTCAGGTGGGAGGCTCAGTGAACACTCTCCTCCTGGCTGATGCTCAAACACTGTGGGGAACAATCCCCTGTGGGCTCTTGCAGATGTGTGTGTGTGTCTTCCACAGCCATGGTTATGCCCCAGCCCCTGGTTCCAGCTGTGGATCCCAACCAGTTGGCAGCACAGCAGCAAGCCTTTATCAACCAGCAAGCCATGCTCATGGTGAGTGGGAGGGAATGGCTGGGAGGGGCCCAGGAACTGGGGGAGAACAACACACTGGTGTATGTGCCATGGAGGGGGAGCCCTGCTCCCCTCCTGCCTTAGGCCTGCCCTGTGACACTCTGTGCCTGTGTGCTGGGGGTGAGCTCTGTAGAGCTGGGATTACCTAAGGCTGCAAAACTGGGAACTCCCTTTTTGCCCCTTTGTTTACATGGGGCCACTGAGGCACCATCAGTGAGTGAGTAACAGGGACAAGGTCAGGCCCTGAGAAGATTCAGCGGTGATTCCCATGGGATTTACTACAGATGCAGATCTGCAGCGTTCTGCTTTCTGTACAAAGCTCTGTAAGTGCATGGTGGTCCCAGGTCATCTGGTTGCTGAATCTTGGGGTGGTGTCAGGAGCTGTGCATCCCTGGCTAGGTGGGAGCAGACTCCCTGTCCATTACATGGGAAATTTGCAGTGGACTGTGTAGATGTTCTGTGATTACCAAGTGAAAGAATGGGACAGTCTGACTGATGGCTGGTGGTTTTGTGCAGCCTGGAGCTCATGGACATTGCAATTCCTTCCTCCAGGCCCAGCAGATGACCCTTCAGGCCATGAGCATTTCCCAGCAACAGCAGCAGCAGCTGCAAAAGTCTCTTGAGAAGTCAAGGCCAAGAGTCTCAAGTCCACCACAAGTCCAACCTCCAGCCACTGCCCCAAAACCCAAGAAGCCTCCCACAAGCCAGGACGCTGCAACACCACCAGAGTCTTCAGAACCACCAGCTAAGGCACGAGAAACAAACAGTGGTGGTGAATTTGGTTTGAATTTCTTGTTTGGTGTTTGCTCTGCTTCCCTCCCACCGTGGCCGTGGTTTGGCAGAGAGGAGAGCAGAGAGCTGTGCTTAACAATGATTCTGAGGCCTTTCAAACTCTGCCTGATGAGTCTTTAGGCATGAGGTCAAACCTTGGTGGCATTTGCTCTGTGGAGGTTGGGCTGCAGTGTTATACAATTAATTTCCAGCTGGGCAGAGTTTTTCCATGGGAAAATTAATTACTCTGAGATCTTTATCTTCCAACAAGCTGCTTTGGTCCTCTAACATAATCCCTCTTCTCTGGGTTTGGTTGATGATTGCTTGTGTAAAAAACTAATTTCTTGGGACACTCCCAGATGGGGAGTTCTAGGTCAGAATTTGGAGAGAGGATCACCTCTGAACTGAAGGGCACTGTGGAGGTTCCCTCCTGCTGGTTAGTGCCAACTAACCATGTTGTGCACTGCCTGCAGGGTTATGACTACACAGGAGATGAGTTCTCCAGCAGTGGAGATGATGACTCTCCTCGGGAAACCTTCCAGCAGAAGAGACAATATTTTCAGAGGATGGGTGAGCATCTACCACTTTGGGAATTTCACTCATCATAACACCTTGCTCTGGAGCCCCCTTGGCATAACAAGGTGCTCTTGGCTCCCTGCCTGGAACCAGCCATGCCCAGCAGGAGCTGCTGGCACTGTGTTTAACAGGAGTTTTGGGTGCTTGTTCAGCTGGCTACATTGTGAGGTGTTGTGGGGACAAATCTTTGGGCTTGTGACTGCCACATTCTCCTTCACCTCTAGAAAACATAGGTTTGTGCTGACTGAGGCAAGAGTGGGAACTGTGCCATCAGTGCTAGATTTTGAGTGTGTTATCAAGCAGTTCAAGTTCCCCTTTCTATGCAGGAGAGCAACACATCCGAGTGAAGAAAGTCAGGCCTCCTACCAAAATCTGGACTCCACCAGTAAATCCCCAGCCAGAGCAGAAGGAGGAGAAAAAACAGGAGCAGCAGAGGAAAGAAGTGAAGCCTGTCCCCAAACCAGAGGCAGGTAAGATGCTGTGCAGTGGAGACTCAGGCAGGCTGACAAGCAGGAACTTTCCAGGAACATCAGGTCAGGATATAGGCAGAGGAAAGGATCTGACTCTTCTGGGAGTCTGCATCTTGGCAGGAGAGGAGAGAAAGGAATTCCTGAGCTTTGGGAAGTGAGATCCCAAAGCAAGGCATTGGAAGGCCATGGCTAGTCAGCCTTGGGGTGAAAGAGAGGGAACTTCAAATGAAACAAAGGGATTTCTCCTGTGCCTTTGCTGGTCTGTTGGTTAAAGCTGTCACCTCAATAGCTCCTGCTTCCCCTGTGCCATCTCCTGAGCCAAAGCCAATAAAGCAGACACCAAAAGTGAAGAAGGAGCCACCTGTAGTGAAGCCTTCAGGCCCCGAGTCACGTCCTGCACCGAGCCGTGAGATCGGCAACATCATCAAAATGTACCAGAGCCGACCAGCCCCTGAGCCCCAGCCCATCGAGCCTGTAAGGTGAGAGGGACCCACCACAGGGGCTGGGAGGGGATGAGTGGGACTGTGTCTCAGCACTGCCATGTGCTCCATCGTGGCCACAACCCCTCTGCAGCCTCTGTAACTCCATTCCCTGTTTCCTTGCAGGAGGGTAAACAAGCCGTTTATAAAGAGGAATGACCCCAAAAACGAGGCTCTGGCCAAGCTGGGAATGATGAATACCTCATCTCATCCATCAGTGAGTTCTTTGCTTTCTGGTCACCTTAAGAGCTCAGCAGAGAGAGCCTCTGTATCCAAGCTCCAACAGGCTGGGAGCTCCCTGGTCACATAGTCACAGCCAGATGATTTCTTGCTGGGTTAACAGATAGCTGGGAGCTCATACCATGGTGCTGCCTATCCTACACTGGGTTCCTGAAGAACCATCTGAGATCCTGAAGAAAAGGCTCAGGAGCAGCAAATCCTATTGTGGACTATGTTTAAGGCTGATCTGGAAGCAAGCAATTCATGTTCTCCACATTTGACACCAAGGCCTTGGCCCGTTGACGTCCTTTTTCCCCTTCCTGGGGAAGGGAACTGGAGACTTCAATCTCAAATACTTGGTTCTCTGGGTTTGGCTGGTCTTCATCTCTTTGTAGACTGTGTGTTGATTTAAAGGTCCTGATGTCCCTGTTCACATAGATCTTGCTTCCAGGGATGGTGTGCTGCCCTAGGGATGATTTATAACAGCAGTGTCAGGACAGAGCAGAGGAATGCAGAGGCAGACTGGGTCAAATGGTTTTGCTGTCTTGCAGCCATCTCCTGTGCCACAAGAGAAGAAAGTACCTCCACCTATCAAGCCCAAGCCAGGCTCAGCTTCCAGATCTATCAAGGAGAAGCAGTTGCCTCTCCTGTCCATCTTCAAGCCAGATGGTACCCCACCAGCACCTGAGAGCCCTCGTGCTCCCCCTCTTCCTCCACCACTGCCTTCACCTCTAAAGCCTGAGGACCAAGAAAGGCAGGAATCCACAGGGAGGGGTGAGTATTGACTTCACCCATGAGGGATTGGGCAGTGGGGCAGAGAGGGGATGGGGTTGGAATCAGCCCAGTGGCCCTGGAGAGTCTTGGCACATGTTCTGTCATCAGAATCTGTCCCCCTGTGTGAATCCAGGGGGATTGTGCAATCAGATCTGTGTGGAATCAGAGAGATGTCACAGTTCCAGTCTGGCCCAGGAATCAGCTTGGCACTTCCCTGCTCTAACTCTTCCCTTCTGAAAAACACAGCTAAAAATAGAAAGATCCTTTGGGCATTATCACGGTCCAGTCCACAATACTTTTTATTGCCTACCTGAAGCATAACTACTTTATCAAAGTAGCAATTGACAGTTGGACTTCAGACCAGGGAGGAATGGGAAGCCAGGTCTTTCATCTGACAAAGCCTCTGGAGGGACCTTAGAGAGGCTGAGGAGTGAGGAATGTTTCTCAGAGGGAGAATGAGCCTGAGAGACCTTGGACTTGGCCACATGAAGAGTATTTGGATGTTGCCCTCTTAAAAGAAGCACAGCTGATGCTTCCCAGCAGGAGTTTTGAAGTGTTATTCAGTCTTAGTTTTGCCTCTGAATTTCAGTGGGAGCCTGGAGCCACAATTCATTTTATACTTTGGATACCTGTACCAATGTATTTCAAGCTGTTTAAAACTCTCATCAACATTCCTTTTTATAACATGCAAGGAACATTCAGCCAAACACATTACTGAAGTACTCCATCCTGCAGCAGCTTCTCTGGTATTAAAGAATTTCCCTTTTTGCTCCCCCTCTCTTTAAAAGAATGTTTCTTCAGCAAGTCCTGTGAAAGTAAATTGAAGTAACTGGATTAGCCTGAAAAATCCCTACGTGCTTTTGCATAGGGACATAGAAACAGCTGAACTATGGGATTTACTACATTTCTTGTCTAAGAGCTCTGAAGTTTTGAAAGTTTGAAGTGCTTAAATGAAGACATTCCTACCTCATAAAGCAACAACTTTGAACTGTTGCCTTCAGACTGAGCCTGTCTTTGACAGATCTGCAGAGAGACAACCCAGTGCTAGTACCAGGTGCCTTGTACCAGAACCTTGCAGCCTGCAAGCTCAGGGCAGAACTTTTATGTCCCTTTGAAACCTTTAGCAGCTTTTCTATAGTAACATAGGGTGAAACCTGTGCCTTCAACCTCAAGCACAGGGGTACCGTTTTTCCTGGGAATCTGAGTGCTCCCTATCCCTGGAGTGTCTATGTTATGAACACTGAACTTTGTGGCTAACACAGGAAGTGTAAATGTTATCAGAAATGCTGAAAATGACTGGTTTGTGCTCACACCAGCTGGTCACTGACCTTCAGGAGGGTCCCTGACAGTAATATTCAGTCAGGCACCAGGCACTGTCCCCTTTCTCCTGGCAGCTCTTTGGCAGGTGGGAAGGTTACCCTGCAGCCCTCAAGGCCCATTTTCACTGCTCTTTCTCCTCACACAGACTCTGCTGTGACAGTAGCAGATGATGATGGCATCAAGACCCAGCTGTACAAGCTCACCACCAGTGTCAGCTTCTCCTACGTGGACCCTGCCTGGAAAATCTTCCTGCGCAAAGAGGTGCAGTTCAACAGCCGAGGGCTGGCTGTGGGGAGAGGGAGCTTGTCACACCTTTGGTTAGAATATGTTTTTTGTAGGCACCCAATGTAAGATAAGAGCACAAAGATAGTTCTGTGAGCAGGTCACAGACACAGGAGATGGGGGCAGGGGATCATGTCATGGGGGATCTGGGTCCTGCCCTGCCTTACTGACCCTTGTGTCTCAGTTTCCCTACCTGTCCTTTCCTCCTTTCTAAAGCACTGAGAAATCCAAAACTAAACATTGTTGTTACCTGGTGTTTTCCTGTTAAAATAGTAAAAATGTGTTTAAAATCAAGTATTGAAGAATGCACTGAACTGACCAGGGTTCATACCTTGGTCTCCCCACTCAGGTTTTGGTTCTCTGCTCCTGGTCCTTCTTTTCACATTCATGGTGTCTCTTCCCTGTCCTCACCTCTCTCTGGCAGCAGGGCATATGGATTGCAAAACATCCCCGGGGAGCTACTTCTGCAGCATCTGTAACACCACTGTTGTTTTTATCCTCCTCTTGCAGGTGTTTTACCCCAAAGAAAATTTCAGCCACCCTTATTGCCTGAACTTGCTGTGTGAACAGGTATGCACCTGTGTGAACAGGTTTGGCTCAAGGCCTGTTGTCTCTCTGGGAACAAAACATTCCTTAATTATGTTGCATAAGTTGCCTTCACTTCTCCATCCCAAGCAGCGTTAGCTCTTCTCCAGGTCCATCCAGTCAAGCCCCTGTTCACTCCTCTCCGAGTCTCAGTCTGTTTAACAGCCTCAGATGCTCCAACACAGTCAGATGTGGCCTTTGCAATGGAAGTCTCTCTGTTCCCTTCCTCTGCAGATCATCCGTGACACTTTCTCCAACTCCTGCTTTCGGATCTCCAAGGAGGAGAAGCGCAAGATGAAAGACCTGCTGAGTAATTAACAGGCCCATCATCCCTTCCTCCCTGTGCCCATCCCAGCCTTTGGTTTGAAATGAGAAACTGGCCTCCAAGCCCTTTCAGACAGGAGTCCTCAGACAGAGGAGTAATATTTGTCACTGCAGCAGGAAAGCACATTTTTGTGTGCTGTGGAGTGAAGTGTAGGAATGTTTGTTTATTCCAAATGGCCAGAAAATGGCCCTGACATTTCTGTGAGCCAGAAAAACTTAGTTCTGAAGTGGTTTTTTGTGGGGACAGGAAACTGAAATCCAAGGATGGGATTTTGAGTTGTCTCAAAATCCAACTGTCGTCTTTGACTGCAGCTTCATGAAGAAGGGGAGGGAAACCAGTGGTAGACTGGTGTGTGCAAGTAATGTGGTGTCCTTACACCTCTGAATGTCATTTTTTGTACTGTGAACACTGAGGGGGGCTGGTGGGAATGAGTCCCTGGGCAGAGGGAGTCTCAGCCATCTTTGCCATGCTGATCAAATATCTGCTTTGTAACCCTGCTAGCGGAGTTCCAGGTTGGCAACGATGTCCAGTCCATCAAGGAGGATGGAATAAAGAAGAGGATTGTACTGGCTGCTCGGGATAACTGGGCCAACTATTTCTCCCGCCTCTTCCCAGTTCATGTGAGTCTTCATTTTCTCACCAGACCCTGAGCTTGCTTTAGCTGTGGCTCCAGTTCACCTGGGATCTCTTTCTGTCTCTCTGCCTGGCCACCCATCACTCCTCCTTCTGCACCTTCCACACCTTGCAGGGTTTGACACCTCTCTCAGCCCAGGGCCTCCTTGTGTGGCACCTCCTTCCCCTGCTGCCACCTGTCCAGGTGGGACACAGCCTTTGATTCTCTCTGCTGCACCTCCCTTACAGGGTGAAGAGGGAAGTGATGTGCAGGTCCTGGGTGTTTCTCACCGGGGCATTCGGCTGCTGAAGGTGGAGAAAGCAGCTGCATATAATCCTGAGCACCTCAAGATTCTTCGCAGCTACTGGTGAGCAGGAGGGCACTGGTTGCTGCAGGGTGATAGTTTGGCACTTGCAGGGTGTTGGGAGGCCAATTGAATGGCTGAGCTGAAAATTCCAAGTTGTGCTGTGCTCTCTAGGACTGTCCTAGGCCAGCTGTGACTCATTGACCCTCCTTCTAATGAGTTTGGCTTTTCCTTTTCCTTCCTACTTTGTGCTTTGCTTACAAGTGAGTGCTGGGGGTGAGTCAGCTCCATGTGTGTCATCACAGGGAGCTCCTCAGGGTGCTATGGTGAAAGCCATGAGCAGCCTGTGGTGCTATTGATGTTGGAACACAGTGCTGGTGAAAGGCCACCATTGGGGCATGTTGAGGCATGTCTCCATTCTCAGTCCCTGGAATGAGCTCCCATCCCTATGTTCTGCATCCCTGGCCCTGGCAGAAGGAGCTTGAGCACACTGATTTGTGTTCTCAGCTTTGCAGATGTGCTGTCAGTGGAGCTGAAGGGCAGCAGTGCCCTGGAGTTCTCTCTGAAGACAGAGCAGCTCCTCCTGCACTCTCTGAAGGCTCCGTGCATCAAGGCCATGGTGGAACTCTTCATGCAGGAGCTGAGGCAGGTGAGGGAGCAGCTGTAGTGCAGTAGGGAAGGAAGGCGGTTTCCCACATGGACCTGAGGGCATCCAAGGGATGACATGAGTCCTTCCCATCCTTGGGACAAGACCTGACCTCCCCATCGTTTTCCCCAGGACACCAACTACGTTGTTGCTCTGCGCAGCTACGTTGTGGATGACAAGAGCCTCCTCAGCTTCAGGAAGGGCGACCTCATTGAGCTGCTGCCCATGCAAGACGTGGAGCCAGGTGAGGGGGCTGAGATTGGCAGGATCAAGGGCCTGCTGGATCCCTAGTGCCCAGAACCAGAGAGTATAAACTCTTAAGGGCAGGCTGGCATAATGAGCCTCTGCCTGCAACCCAGCTTGTTCCAGCTGCCTTAGCTATAGGGGTATATGTGTTACCTGAGGATGCAGGAAACCCTGGCGAGTCTGATGATCTCCTTTGCCAGTAGAAAGCTTCAGTGCCCATTCCTCTTGGCAGCTGCCATGGTTCCTGACTCTTTGGCCCCTGTTTCTGCAGGCTGGCAGTTTGGCTGCACTGGTGGCCGCTGTGGTCTCTTCCCCACCGACCTGGTGCAGTTGGCTGCAGCCCCTGATTACCTCAGCACCAACATGGACAGACGTGCAGAGCTATGGAAGAGAAGGAAATCTTCCCCAGAGAGCAGAAACACCAGCAGGGAGGTGAGCTGTCCTTGGGGAACATCTAGGGGTTATGCCTGGGTTCTGAGAGCTACCAGGGTGGGTCCATATCCCTGGTCTGACCTCCAAGGCCAGAGGGAAGATGATGATTGTTTAATCCTTGGAGACAGAGACACTCAAATACTATCATAGTGGGAGGGGAGGCACCACACATAGATGCTGAGTCTGGCAGGTGAGAACACAACTGCAATTCCTCAGCTGACTTTTTTGGTGGTGTCCCTGCAGAGTTCTGTTCCCAGCCTGACATCAGAACCCGACAGCACCATGTTAGTCCCTGCTGGTGATCGTTATACCATGATTGACTTCGCCACAGCCTATTTCCGGGAGGCTCAGTCCATGTGAGTAGGCTGTGGTCCTTCCCAAACAGGCACACACAGGACCTGCATAGCCTGACCCACACCAGGCTATTTCAGGGCATATTTCTTGGACTGCATGTTTCCTCTCCTCTGTCTAGGCAGGGACTGCAGGGGACGTCTGCTGAAAAGAAGAGTATAGCTGGCCTGGTCCGGCACACCAAGGTGAGCCCAGTCTCTCCCCGTGGATACAGCCAGAATCTCAGCTCCAGCATTGCCTCTAGCTTTGTCCCCACATGGCAAAAGCACAGAGGACAGATCCTTGGCTTGCAGTCTCTGGAGAAGTGTAGATGTCCCCTACTTTTCAGTGCTGCCTGCAAGATTCTGGGAGCTTGAGTCTTTGGTGAAACCTGCAGCACAGCTCTGTGAGATCCACCTCCCCACTTTATCCTTGTACTCTGGCCCCGTAGGTCCCAATCCAGATGTCTTTGCTCTGGTACTCTGACACTGAGCTGAATGAGCTGGCTACAAAGAACTTCCAGAGTAAGTACCTCCCTAGGACACAACACTGCAGAGGCTGGGGGGGGCAAGTGGGATGCTGTGGGCACACACAGGCATTGTGGGGCTGAGTAGGGAATGAAACCTGTGTCAGGAGGACCCCTCCTAAGGCACTTCTGCAGTTAATAACCACCTGTGTCCTTATTGAAAGCATCCAGCAAAATGTACTTTGCTTGGAGTGCAAAGTGTCCAAGAACACACCTTGCCTGGGCTGTGGACAGACCACACCTGTCCAATGCAAACCTTGGAGCAGGAAAGTTTTCAGGACAGTTTTTAGCCCTCTGCCAGCCCCATGGCAGGACCACCCCTGCTTAGACCTAAATGTCAGCCTTTGCCTTGCAGCGCTGATGCGGTTCATGGGAGATCAGCCCAAGCACAAGGACCAGACTGAGGTTGAATGCATCTATGAAATCCTTAAGGTTTGTGACCTTCCCTCGGGCAAAGTGCTGAAGCACCAACAGGAACAGAGGGCCAAGGCCTTGCTGGGAAGGGAGAGAGCAGGGAGAGCCATAATGCAACTCCTGCATGAGAAAGGGAGCTGAAACAGACTAACTAAAACACATGGAGGGGAGGGGCTCCGTGTAAATGGTTTCCCTGGATATCACTGTCTGGATGAGAGCACAACCTCCCTTTCCTCTCTCCTTCTTTGGGCCTAGATAGCATTGGGGACCAGAGGCTGGAAAGCCCAAGCTTTAAGCCAAATGGGCAGAGCTCCAGTGCTGGAAGAGGAAGGGCACAGAGGTGACCTGGGGGCCTCTCTGATGCTCTCATCCGCTCTCTGATGCTGTTTTCTCCTCTCTGAATGCAGCTATGCAAGGAGAAGGAACATTTGCATGATGAGGTCTACTGCCAGGTCATCAAACAGGTCACCCACAACCCCAACCAGTGAGTACCAGAACTGGCAGCTCCTCTGCATGCACAGCTGGAGAGGAACCATCTGCTTCAGGGACACCAGGGCCAGGGGAGAGGGTGTTCCCTGATGCTGTGCTGTCCCCAGTGCTCCAATGCTGGGGCTTTTGCTGAGCACTCAGGAAATTTAGCCAGTCACTGGGTCTGACATTTTCATTTCAGTGGATGTTTGTCCTTGTTTTTCTGGCTGCTGATATATCTGGGCCCCGGTAAACATCCCTGGTAGCTCCTGGTAGTGGTGCTGCTCAGAGCCCTGATTTCCTCCTCACAGCCCTGGGGAATTGATACAACAGTCAGGGCTTGAAATGGCAGCAGTGGCATCAGAGTGGCCTTGACTGTTCCCTTTGTTTGCTGTTAGAACGACTGAATCAATCCCTTACTCAGCATAAGAAACCTCTGACCAAGGGCTGCCACCCCATTTTCTGCTGCCTGCCATAGGTGTTCAGAAGGGCAGAGGCTCAGTTTTGAGCTGCTAGGAGCAGGAAATGTCTTATCCCAAGGTGCCCACAGTCCTTTCTGTTCCTCAGGGAGAGCGTGCTGCGTGGCTGGTTGGTCCTGAATCTGCTAACTGGATACTTCCTTCCTACTAAAACCCTGATGCCCTATGCCACCAAGTTCCTGCAGCTAGCCAGCAGTGATCCATCCAGCACCCACCATGGTATGACTGTCTGTGTCCTATAAAACAAACATTCTAGTTCTAATCTTCCCATCCTGTCACCCCTCTGTTCTCCTGCTGTTCTGGATGCTGTCCGTGCTCGGCTCCTCATGATTTGGATGTGTCCTGGCAGAGTGGGAGTTGAGGTCAAGTCTCTTTGCTTTCCTAGCAGTGACCAAGGGTTAAATTTAACACAGCCAGGATGAGCCAACACCACAGGACACAATGTTTAGTTCTCTGTTTGGCTCAGCACATGGAGCTTTTCCCTCTTCCTGCAGATATAGCCAAGATCTGTCAGAGCAACCTGCGGAAGAACTTCATGTACGGGGGCCGCCGAAACCTTCCTTTCCCTGTGGAGATGGAGGCACTGCTGGTACTGAGGGGCAGGGAAGGGGGGATGCTGGGAACAGGGGGAGGGCAGAGGGTTGCCAGGAGGTGCCATGTGAGTGTGACAGGGGCAGTTAGTGCTCCATGAGAGGAAATGAATCATGTGGATGTAAGGGGTTTGGGAAGTGCAATGCCATGGAGCGAGCAGGAATATGGGCAGGGAAGGGGCAGGTACTATGGAGAAGCAGTGGAAGGCACAGATGAGGAAGAAGAGGGAGAAACAATTGTGGGGCTGGTGGGATCCTGCACGTCTTGCTGCCTAAAGACTGTCCCTTGCAGAAGGGGCACGGTGCCCGCCGGCTGGTGATACTGATGCCTGGAGGCATGGACTACCTCACCAGGATCAGGACATTCACGGTGAGTTTTCAGCTGTGACTTTCTTCTTTGGTCTGGACTCTGAGCCACACCAGGGAAATCCCTTATCTGCCAAGGGGTAATATGTCTACCTGATCTGGGACTGCTTTGGGCTTGCCTGGTCATGGTATTCATTTTCTTCTTTCCTTGCTTCAGGTGGCCAAGGAGCTCTTGCAGGAGATCTGTGAGCAGATGGGAGTAGGTGAACAGGAAGAGATACAGGACTTTTTTCTTTTTGCTATCAGGACTGACAACAAAAATCTTGGCAAGTAGAGACCAGCATCGAGTTTCTTCCTAAAGCAGTCCCTGCAACAGGGAGCACCATGGCTCTGGCTTTGAATAGTTTCCCCACCCTTCCTGGCTCACAGGAGGTTCCTCTTAAGCAGCTTCCCTCTGTATTAGGGTTAAGGATTGATCCTTCTCAGGGTCTGTGTTGCTTGTTCCTGAAAGAGGTGTGTGGGTCTGTGTCCCTTTGGAATGGCTGATGCTTGGAGCTGTAAGGGCAGGGTGGAACAGAGGTGTGCAGGAACTGTCCCAGGCTGTGGTGCTCAGCCCACTGCCTCAGCACCAAGAGGGATGGATGACTCTCTCTCTGTGTAACATGTAGGTAAAACAGTGAAGCCAATAAAACCAGAGGAGTATCTCCACGATTACCTGCTGGAGGACAAGATGGTCACCGTGACTTTGCGCAGGCTCACCTGGAGGACACCTCTGCACTTCGAGAACCAAATCTATACAGACGTGCACTATGGACAGGTAAGAACAGCAGGGCCCTCCCCAGGGCTCCCTGACAGGGGCAGAGGTTGTGTTCAGGCCAGTGGGAATGTCTCAATGGGGGCTGGAAAAGCAGGAGGTCTTTGGCTGATCAGCTTTGTGTGCTGTTTCTGGGAATGACTGAACACTGAAGCTATGGATGCACGGAAGGCAGTGTGCCTGTGGGCCTAGCCTGGGAGCTGGGCTGTTCCACACGTGGCTTGTGCAGCTCCACAGGCTCTTCCTGAGCCCAGCCTGCCTTTGCTTTTGCATTATCAGCCTGAGTGGGATGTGTTATCATCAGGAAGGCAGGATGTGGGTCTCTGCAGCCTGGCACTGCCCAGAACTGCCTGTACCTTCTGGCAGGTTTAACAAAGGCCTCTTTGCTGTGCTGTCTCTCAGGTGCTGTGGGATTACCTGAATGGGAGGATGCTGCTGACCCATAGTAAAGAAATGGAGATGCAGGTGGGCCTTTTGGCAATGCTCCAGCACTGGGCCAAACCAGAGCAGCAGAACTCTGCTCCCTCCGGGTATGTCGGGGTCAGGGTGGGTCTCTGCTTCTCTAATGTTGGCACCACAGGGGTTAGGAGCAGGTGCCTGGAAGTACTTCTGGATAATTAAGGAATGGACAGTTCTGTAGAACATAAGCTATTAATTAATGTCATGTAGCAACTGACTCCTGTCCCCAATCAAGAAATTTACCCCCTATTCACACCCTTAATGCTGCCAATCTCTGCTCCACATTTCCTTTTGTAACTCCTCCTGAGCTGAGGGTCATGAGGGTGCCATGGGCATTTCATTTGACTGCCATGGATTTGTAATACCAAGAAAGAAGTGCATGAGCTTATAGTTTGGGTGACTGCTCCTTTGTTCTTTCTCACAAGTGCCAGAGGTTTCAACCCTGGGCACCTGAAACCTCTAATGAGATGCCTCATTGGAATGAAATGGGAATGAAATTGTCCCTGGATACTGGAAAGCTTCTGTATTGCAGTTCCAAGGTGTATATTCACACTCTTTGCTTCCTGTATCCTTTGCACTTTGTCTCAGAGTTGAGGTTAATGTCTCCATCAGATCCCCTTAAAGCACCAGCAGCAGGGGAAATGGCATAACCCTGCTGGGCATTGAAGAGCTCCTGCTGTCTCCAGAAAGGAAGGATTTCTCTCTGTGCACTGCTCAGTGATGCACAGCTGATTTCTCTATGGAAAAGGGTGGTCTCACTGTCTCTGGTGTTTCCTTCCACCTGATCCAGTGCAGATACAACCTGCTGTGCTTTTCCTCTCCCCCTTCACCCTTCCCCTCAGACACAAATTTGAAAATTGCTGCCTCATCCCCTTTGTTCCCTTAATCCCCCAGCTGATGTTTGATTTTAGCTGGGCAGGGGGTGAATTAGAATCTTCTTGTTGGCACAGGGAGGAGCTGAAGAAATACACACCAAAGACCCTGCAGCACTCTATCAGTTCCATGGCTCTGGAGAACCAGGTCACCACATTGCTGAGGACAAGGCAGCCCCTCCAGCCACTGGATGCAAAAATCCAGTTCATAGGTGAGAAGACAACCAGATCTGCTTCAATTGTCCATCCTGAGCATGATGGAAGCTGCTCTGAACCCACTTTTGGGACAGTTCATGAGGTTGTTGAGGATTCTTGGAGCCTGGAATGGGCCATGGCAATAGAATTCCCTGACAGCCTCTCACTGTGGATTGGAACTTGTTCCCAAGCACAGTGATCAGGGTAGAAGTTCCACCTGCTGTAGAATTTGGCAGCAGATTTTCAAAGCTCTCCATAAGTTGTGTTTTAACTGGCACTCTGGCTGCACATCTGTTTTCTGATCAGAAAAGAATGGCACATCCCTTCAGGCTGCTGAGAATTGGGTATCAGCAGCCTGGTGGGGAGTGAGTAGTTGTCAGTCTAACTTTTTAATGTAGAAAAGTTTGGGAACACTGGCAGTTTTGACCACCTTAGGCTGGTGTAGTAGATTGCTGGCTGGAAGCTGCTCCCTTCAGGCCACCTTTTGCTTTCTTACAGAACATGTGATGAAATTGCCTTTCTTTGGCTACACCATGTTCATCGTGGAGAGAGTCAGTGATGAGACGATCCCTGCGCCCTGTTTCTTTGGTGTGAATAAAGAGGAGATCATTGTGGTGAATGGCATCACCAAGGTATGCCAGACAATTCCCCCCAGTGTCTGTCAGATATTAACTTTGCCTTTTAGAAGAACCTGTGCAGGAAGAGGCTGTACTTCTCTGTATCGCAGCCACTCTAACAAGAAAGTAAGAGACAAGAGTGGTAGAACAGTCATTAGTGCCATGTGCTCTTTTGCAAGTCCAGTATTCATGCTAACAAGCACAGCCTACAGTAAACCTGTGTGTCACATTCCTGTTTGTCCCAGTGCCGTGGCAGTTCCAGGGCTGTGCTGTCAGCAGGAACCTGCCCTGTGTTCTGCACACACCACCCTGTGCCCCAGACCTCGCTCAGCTTTCACTGGGCTCTTGAGGTGACTCCTTCTCGTGGGGAATGCGATGGTTTAAGGACTGCACCAGAGAGTGGTCTGTGGCTTTTCTCCTCCCCAGGCCGTGTCCCGGGTCATTCCCCTGAAGGAGGTGCAGAAGATGCGCACCCTGAAGCCCATGTTCAAAGATGGACTTCCTGGCTTGGAGCTGAACTACGGATCACCTGCCACCCCCAAGACCATGTGGATTGAACTGAAACAGGTGAGATCAGCCTGGGCCTGCAGCTTCCTGTTGGCAACTCAGGAATTGCCCTCCACTGCCGAGCTGAGCCTCTGTTGAGACAGTGCTCCTGCTCTCTCCTGCTCCACAGAAGGAGGAAAGGGATCATTGCATTTCCCAGGCTCCAAAGTGCAGCTTTGTTCCAACACATACCTGATATTTAATTATAGAAAGTGGTTTATGGGAATATTTAATTATAAGCAGCAGCTGTTTCTGGGGCAAAGAATGACTGATGCTGATTTGTGTTTTGACAGGCTAAAGAACTGTACCACACACTTGTTGTCATCCTGGACAAAACAGAGCTCCACTCCTAGAGCCCGAAAGGAGGAGAATGACCAAGGAAAACAGCTGTGTCTCTCTTCCTTTGTACTTGATCAGTGCTCCCTGACCTGCTTTCTAGAAAGAACATTTCCAAAAGACAGCCATGACCTGAGACAGCTGCTTTCTAGGGCTGCCACCACAGTGTTTGTTGACGGACTGGACCACAATGTCACCCCTGGTGACCTGCCATTCAGTCCTCAAGTACTTCCTTGAAGCAATCCATGCTGTGGATAAACAAACCACAAGGCCCTCTCCACACCACAGTTCCAACAAAGAGCAGCTGAACCAATGCAAGCACTTGCCTTCAAGCAATGCAGTGTGGAAGTCCTCTTTTCTTTCTTGAATTAATTAACATTAGCAAAGCCTGGTGCTTGCTAGAGATTTGTGTGTCCCAATGCCCAGCTGAGGCTATGCAATGCCTGCACTGGCTGCTGGTGTTTTCCAGAGGCCAGTTTTGTCTCTGCATTGATATGCACAAGGCCCTGGAACAGGATTGGTGAAGCAGGAGTTTACAGAAAGCACCTTCATTGAAAAGCAGATCAGTGTTAATAATACAATTAGTGCATATGCTGGGGCACAGATTGAGCTGCAACGGTACCAAAGTTTATTGTTAATTAATTTCTCACTGACATAATTATATGCATCTGCTTCCCTCTGCTATAAAGAAGTCAGTCATGTCCATGCAGCTGTCAGGCTTCAATGGTGGCTCCATGCCCACAGAGGAAGCACATTCAAACAGCACTTATATTATAGTAGAGTGTTTTGGGTTGTACAAAAATGCCTAATTTATTTTTATTGCCCTTTAGGAAATTGCAATAAAGTAATCATAGATATGTTTTGAAGGTGTGGTGTGACAGATCTTGCATCTTAACCCGGGAAAACTGACCTGCAGGTAACAGGCAAACCTTGAGGGGAAAAAGGCTGTCACTGTTGGCAGGGAAGGGATAGATCTGAGGGTGCTCAGTGCAAGCCATGAGGCACAGCTGGATTCTTGCTGGTGAGGTGATTCCAGCAGGAACTGCAGCATCTTCCCTGTCAGGTACTTCCCTTCAAGTGCTGCTTAATGTATCTTACACCAGTCTGTATGAGTGAGTGGTAAGAAAAAGCTTCCAGGAACACTCCACAGCAGCTATAACATTATTTTATTGTCAGTTCTGCATATACTTCAGTACATCTAAAAAAATACATCTGTGGAGTACAGTGCTCCAAAAGCCTGATGACCGATGGCCTCTCAGCTGCAGATCCCTCAGCAGCAGTAGTGCCTGAGGCCACCAGCCTCTGTGGGCATGGAACAAAGGCAGAACCCAATAAAAATCCAACAGGAAGGACTTGTGCCAGGGAATCAGGTTAGGTCCCATATAAACATAGCAGCAGAGACACCACAGTGTCAATTTGAGGGCCACAGCAGTACCTGAACCAGTTCTAACAGCAGCATTGCCCTCTGTATTGCAGACTTTTGGTGAGGCACAGGGGGCAAATATGGCTTTAGGGGTTATAAGAAAATGCTGGAAAGTGCTGTTGAGGTTAACACTGAAAGAGCATCACCACTTAAGTTAAAGGGCAGACAAAACTAGACAAAGTTTAAAAAAAGTTCACATTAAAAGAAAAAGAATTCCAGTTTCTCCACCTTCAGAAAGTAGGCATTGCCTGCATGGTAAGAACAAAACACTTCCCTCCTGCCCTTCAAAGGAAAACATTCCATCCAGGAACTCAACCATGGAGTTTGTCATTGGCAGCCCTGAGCAAAGCATAAGAACATGTAGCATAAGGCTTCTAGTGGTAACACTGAATTAAGAACTAAGAGACAGGGAGTGAGGGGAGGAACCATCTAGGAACAAGATGCCATCCCAAAGCAGAGTCCCAGTTGGAAAGTCTGAGCCCTTCCCAGACTGCTGCAGGGAGTAGAGGTTGGAGACAGTGCAGAACATCTCAGGCAGCAGCCCCTAACAAACACAGCAGATGCAACTTCACACCCCTTGGTCCTTGAGGGCTTCAGCACCCCAGTTATTGGAGAAACTCTCTGTAAGTTCACTGAAACTGGTTTCCTGGAACTGTTTGTCACTAAGGACAGAAGTGAGCAAAAATGCAGTGGGAGATAAAAAAAAAAAATCTCACTTCTGCAGTCTCACGAAACCCTCCATGGCAGAGTTCTTCAAGATCCCCTGGTCATGCTGCTGGAGGAAGGAAGACAACCAACAGGATACACAGATCAGCTCTCCCAGCTCTGCAGCTCCTGCCAGTCTGCCTCACTCTCACACCTGACCCTTGTTTTGAAAAACTCCTTGATGAGTCTCTGTGCTTCCTCCTTCACTGCAAGAGAGGAAACACCACCTCTGAGTCAAAATTTAAGACATATGCCACCCCTAAAGACATCCATCCATTTGGCACTGGAAGAACCCCAGGCTCTCAGTGCTCTCACCTGTCTTGCGGGCAGGGTTCTGCTCCTGGGTCAGTAAGTGAGAGAGGTGCCGGGCAAAGCCCTTAAACAGCTCCTGCAGAATCAGGGAAGACAAAGAGCAGAAAGCAGACATCAGTTACCAGACTGTTCCATGTTTGTCTTGCCCTCAGCATAGGCTGGCTGCAGCACACACTATTCCTAGATTGTTGCACACCTGCAAACACACCCGACCCTGCAGTGTTGGCACACACAACCTGCCTTGCAGGACACATCAAGGAAACTACACCAGAATTGAACCTGAGCTGTTGCAGCTCCACAGGTGGGAGTTAAAAGTGTGCGAGAGCTTAATGTGAAAACATGAACAACCATAAATAAATATGGAACTAACATGATACCACTCCAAACACACACAAAGCTTTTTGTGGGAGAGGTGAGTTCCTGCACCTGGAGTCACTGAAACAGCACATACCAAGATGCAACTTGGAAATGAAATGTGGTATCCAGATCATCTCCCCCATTCTTAGAGCCCCAGATTCACCATGAACTGCAGTCTCCTTCTGCTAAAGAGGGTCGTGAGCTGTTCCCTACCTTGGAAGCAAATTTGCCACCCTTGTAGAACGGGGTCAAATATTTGACAACGATGTCTGCAGTGTCTTTGAGGGACACGCCTTTGGTCACTGGCTGTACAGTCTTGCTGGTTCCTTCTTTATCACACTGTTCTAAGTTTGTATCAAAAGTCACCTTCTTCTTTGTTGGACCAGCACTTTTGCAATCTGGCTGGGACAGAATAGAAGGTTTTGCCGCTGTCCGCAGCCGCTTTGTTGCAGGACTTTCCATATCCTGGAGAGGAGGCAGAAAAGAATCAAACCCACCACTTCCTGGAGCAGCATTCCACTTCCAAGCACCCACTACCTTCCAGGACAACAAATCTTTGCAGCATCCTGCAGACTCTCCCTACAGTGAATACCATGCAGGAATCTCAGTAACCCATTTTGCTGTGCAGACATAATACACTATTTGTCACACAAAGGGACTTTGAGAAAAGCCCTTTAAGAACACTACATGTACAATTACTCCGTGCTCTTATTAGGGCAGCTAATTGCTAGACCCTGTCATATACAGGAAAAACTGACTGGAAATGATTTTTCAGGATCTCTGCTGAGAATACACCCCTCAGGAAGAACCAGCCATGTCAGGAGTGCCACATGCCTGTTCAGTTTGAAAGAAAAGAAGACTGCACTGTTGCAGAGACAGCTGCCAGGCAGTCTCAGATGCCAAATGCAGAAGCAGAGACTGAATGGCAAGGCAGGCTGTGAGTACAGGTCGCTTCCAAATGGTCCCGTGTGTCATTGGCCTGTGGTTGTTCCCTGGACTTGAGAAAGCAGCTGCTAATTATAGTTCATTACAGATCTAGAGGAGGTCAAGAGACTCATTCCAGGCAAGTCACCAGCAAGGGCACAGTCACATGTGTTGCACACAGGAGGAAACAACGCAGTGGAGGGGAAGCTCCACTGGCATGGCCCAGTGGGCAGCAGGGAAACACCAGGAATGGTGCTGGCATGGCCCAGTGGGCAGCAGGGAAACACCAGGAATGCAACACAACTGGGGTTCTCCTCTCTGGTGCAACTGCAGCTGGGCCCTTCCCAGATAAATAACACTCTCAGGTGAGGTTCAGAGAAGGAGCATCACTTTCAGAGAGAAATTTGGCACGAGATGAGCAGAAGAAATAGAGGAAATTAGCATTCATTGAAGCCTTACCTCAACTGATCCTGCTCGCTTCCCACTCTCACCTTCCCCAACAACAGGTAGCTCAGTTTCTGAGACATTTTCAGCAACACTAGTGGGAAGAGTGGAGAGAAGGCCAACTGTAATTATTCCACAGAGAAAATATCCCTGCATTCACTGTTAGTGGCTATGAGACCCTCCATGGTAAAGCAAGAGTCTCCCTCACCCACCCAGAGATCTCATACAGATTCCCAGTTTCCAGGACAACGCTGGTGGGACTCTGCAGCTTTACAGGGCAATAAAGGGAGCAGAGAGATAGGGATTTTACCTGGACTTTACATCAATTTCTTCCTGAAGGAGTTCAGATTCAGCAGCCTGCTGGGTCTTAAAATCCTCCCCCCTCTCAGTCTGTGTTACTTTTGTTTCTCTCAGTTCTTTATTCTCTGCCTGGGACTGTCCAGTCAGATCTCCAGAGATATCTCTGCCTTCCTGAGGTGTTGGTTGCTCTTGACACGTGCTTTGAGAAGAAACCTGAGGTAGTGTGCTTGCAGAACAGCCCTCTTCCTTTGCTGAGCTGCAACTTTTGGCTTTAGAGCTGCCCTTGGAGAGGGAGAAGAATTTGGAAATATCCTGTGATTCTTTTTTAGCTGCTTCTGCGAGCATTTGCTGCTTCTTGCTACGTTTGGTCTTCTTAGAAGGGCTCTCCCAAAGGGCAGCCTTTGTGTCTGGACTGGGTTGCTGTCCCTTCTTTTCAGGGTGTATTTCTACCCCAGCACTCTCACACATTGCTTGGGTTGCTGTTTCTTCCCTCTGGACAACAGTGTTTCTGGTGTCCAGTTCCAGACTGCAGCTGCTGTTGTCTTGCCCATTTGGACAATCTACTTCTTTTTTGACAGGCTTTGCATCACTCTCCTCCTGGATCTTCAGCAGTTCTGAGGCAGTCTGGAACAAGTTGGATTTCTTTGGAAATCCTGCTCCCACGCGCTTGGGTTTGAACTAGGGAGAAAGGAGGAAGAAGAAAGTTTGGATGCGATATCCCTATGTGCAGAACTCTGAAAGGAGATAGGTTTCTGCACACAATACACCAGTGTGGACAGATGTAAGGTGAGGGAGGCTCTAAATCTGACTTATCATCACACCCATCAACTGAGACATGAGGGAAATGCATTAGGTTAAATTCCCAGGGTGGTAGTAAGGAAACAGCCATCCTTGGCTAGAGCAAGATGAGAAAGAACTTTTTTAATCTATGGCCTGCACATAGATTATGTTCACTAATAGCAACCACTATGACAGATAGACAGGGAAAAGCAATTACAACAGAAATATACAGCTATGGCCACAGAAAGGATGCAAGATAAATTGATAAAAAAGCAGAAAGACAAAACACACCATTCCCTCCTGTCTATCCCATCAGTACTCACTGAGTAAACCTGGGATGCAGGGAGGAAGTCCTGTTCTGTTGGAGACTCAGATTTTGTTTCCAAACTGCTGTTGCCACCAGTTCCAGACCCAAAAACCGAGAACAACTCTCCTTGTTTGGAGGCTTTGTTGATTTCTGCTACCTGAAAAGAGAATGGAAATATCCTCCAATGGCCAGAAATCTTTATGCATTCCTGCCTTTTTACATACTAAGAGCCACAGTGGCAAAACAAACATCTCCCCTAGAGAGGCACCTGCCTCAAGAACAGAAATATCTTCAGAGAGA